AGCCCAGCAGTTCGAGGCTTCAGTGGCCAGGAGTGGCCACTGCATTCCAGTCTGGGCAACAGAGTGAGACTCCAACTCAAAAGAAAAGAAAAAAAAATCCATTGATTTTAATAAGCCTTTTCTAAGAATTGATTTTTCATCTGTTTTCATGAAGATTGAAAAGAGTAGGGAAAAAACTGTATTTTCTGTTCTTCCATTTTTCCATTTAAGGTGATTTATCTCATCAGAAATCCCAGAGATAGTCTGGTGTCTGGTTATTTTTTCTGTTATATGGCAAAATTTCTAAAGAGACCAAAGTCACTGGAACAATACTTTGACGGGTTCATCCAAGGAATGGTGAGTGTATTGCCAAATACAGAACCTGGGGGTTGCTCGGAGTCCTTCACAAGACACCATTGGACACCAGCCTTATATCTCTACATCTCATCACCCCATGGGTATAAGGTTCTGTCACCAATGAAACCCAGATCTGCTAAGTCCACCTACTCTCCCACAGCAGGAGAACGCTAGCCACTCCCTCAGCTTGCCCCATGGTAAGCCATCCTAGGCATCTTCTGAGACTCTAGGGCCTCCAGTACTAACACAGACTACTCATATTCTTCTCCACTCTCGCACTTGGTGGCTTTCTGAAAGTCAGCTTTTCGTTGGCTTCCTGGACAACACAATGCTGACATTTCACCATTTCCCCCTCATGCCTCTTTTTACAACTCCTTTAATCCTCTGTTTCTAAATGTCTCAAAACTGTTTGCAGAACACTGGGACCTCTCTCCTTTTAATTATGCAGAATTTCTGGGATTTTTCAGGTACTTTCAATTTTGCAGTTTTTCTCAGATCTCCATGATGAGTCTCTGTCTCAGCTGTGGTGTCTTGAGCTCCAGTCACCTGCAGACCCTTCACTGGAGAGACCCACAGATACCTCTAATTCAACGTGTTCAAAATTGAGTACCTCTTTCCCCCCATCCCTTGAACTTCTTCTACTGCACATTTATCTTACCCCACCTCTCATCCACATGATTCTGACATTTCACAAGCATCCTCTTTCCCCATCCCACTCCCCATGCCCCTTACCGCTGTCCTTTGTCTAATAATTAATCAAAGCCCACCAGGGATTATAATAAAAACTGGGGCTTATAAAGATTATAACAACAACCAGGGCTTAAATTTAAAGAGGTGTGGGTTGTGTTTCAGCTGTTGCCGAGAATCTTGAAAAGTCTAATCAATAGCGGTAGGTGACGAAGACACATTCTATAGACCTCACGCTGTCTCCATATCGTGCCTCTCTGGGCTTTAAGACTCATGCACAGACCTCTTTCAAATCCACTCAAGAACTAACAGCATCAAAATCTTTTTTGTTGTTGTTTGTTTGAGTTGGAGTTTCACTTCGTCACCCAGGCTGGAGTGCAGTGGCATGCTCATGGCCACCCCAGAGTCTACCTGCTGGGCTCCGGCGATCCCTCCGCCTCAGTCTTCCAAGTAGCTGGAACTACAGGCGCGTGCTACCACACCCGGCCGATTTTTTTTGATTTATTGTAAAGACAAGACCTCGCCAAGTTGTCCGGGCTGGTCTCGAACCCACAGACTCAGGCAATCCGCTCACCTCAGCCTCCCAAAGTGCTGGGATTACAGGCTGAGCCATCGAGCAAAATCTTTATTGTTATCAACTTAACGTAAATATTCTGGGTTGTCTGCAACCTTGTAGAGGAGTGAGGCAAGCTCCTTTTTCCATACAGATGATAAAATCTTGGGAATTTAAGTTCTAGGAGATAATTGTCTTTAGACCCAGGCAACAGATATTCCTGCTCTGGACATATGATAGCAAGGCCTCAGGGGGTCTCCTGCCCTGAATATATTTCCTTCCCAAACAAGGTAAGGAGTCTGTTGGGACAATTACAACCCTCTTATTACCTATGACATAGGGGCCTTGACCCTAGAATCCCTCATGCAAAAGATTCCAAGATGCTCTTTGAGGGCTTGTGTGGTCTCTGCTTTGGGTCCCACCCTCACCCCAGTACTGACCATGTGCACCAGCAGCAGCATGCACCACTAGGCTAGATGTGGCCAGAAGGAAGGTCAAAATGAATGGTTCATGATTGCTATTTGCAGGAGTCATTGAAGGCCATTCACTGTGTTATTTGCTCTTCTTCATGAGATGGGTTCCTTCCCAGAGTTGGTGAGAGGCACCATTTGCTTGACACTAACAAATATCAACCTGATGCCAACCCAATTATCAGTCTAATGTCAACCAAAGGTCCTGTGTGGATCTTACTGGATTTCAATTTTTTGTTTTTTTGAGTTGGAGCCTCACTCTGTCGCCCAGGCTGGAGTGCAGTGGCATACTCACGGCCAACCCCAGCGTCGACCCGCTGGGCTCTGGCGATCCTTCTGCCTCAGCCTTCCAAGTAACCAGAACTATAGGCATTCGCTACCACACTTGGCTAATTTTTTGACTTTATTGTAGAGACGAGCTTTTGCCAAGTTTCCCAGGCAGGTCTCGAACCTGTGGGCTCAGGCAATCCACTTGCCTTGGCCTCTCAAAGTGCCGGGATTACAAACTGAGCCACTGAGCCCGGCCAGATTTCAACTTTTAAAAGCCAAACATTCCTGCTGAACAGTTGAAGGAAAGCAATAACATAATAATCCTGAAACGATATTCATGAGATAACTTAGGAAAATTGAATACTGCTTGGACATGAGCAGATAGTATACAGGTATTGTGAGGTTTATTCTATTTTTTTTGTTGTTGTTATAACATAATTGTTCATGATGTTTTAGTCTGGATAGATGTATTGAAGTATATACCGAGGAAATGATATAATTTCTGGGAGTTTTTCTAAAATAAAACAGTGGAGGGAAAGGGGAAATGAAACAGGCTGAGTTTTGCCACTATCTTCACTTCTGTTCAACGTTGTCCCAAAGCCCTGGCCAATGAGATAAAAAACATTCTATGTGCATTAGAAATGAAGATAATAGTCATTGCTTTAGGTGGATTTAAGAAAATATGAAAGTATGCTCTGATTCCCCCAATTCTTTGCACTATATAGACTATGTTGAACTAGTCTAATACCTAACAATACATTCTGGGATCACTCCATATTAGTAGCTTGGTTCTTTAAAGCACATTTCTCCATTGTCATCTAACCTCCAGAGTGGTTGGCAAGAGGTCTGATGTGATTATGGCAAAGGAAACTTAGTAAAGTTGTCTCCCTGTATCTGCAGGGGTTGGTTCCAGGATCCCCTGGATACCAAAACCCTTGGAAGCCCAGGTCCCGCAATCAGTCCTGTGGAACCCACAGATGTGAAAGCTGACTCTTCACATCTCAGGTTTCCATATCCTGTGAATATTGTATTTTCCATCCCTGGTTGGTTGAACCTTCATACTAAGGTCTGACTGTATATAAAATGGAATACTATTCAGCCCTAAAAAGGAAGGAAGCCCTGTCATGTACAACAACATGGGTCAACCTGGAGGACATTGTGCTAAGTGAGATAAGCCAGGTACAGAAAGACAAATACCTCATGATCTCACTTACATGTGAACTCTGACAAAATTGAGCCCACAAAAGCAGAGAGTAGAGCAGAGATCGACAGGGGTGGGAGGTCTGAGGAATGAGACTAGGGAGATGTTGGTCAAAGGTTACAAGGTTTTAGTTAGATAAGATGAATAAGTTCTGGAGATCTATTGTACAACTTGTTGACTATTGTTAATAATGTATTCTATACTTGAAAATTGCTAAAAGAGAAGATCTTAAACATTCTCACCAGCAAAAAAGGGATGTGAGGTGATGAATATGTTAATGAGTTTGATTTTATCATTTCATAATGTATGCATATCAAAACAGCATAGTATCCACTGTAAACATATTTTATTTGGGAATTATACCTTAACAAAGCTGGTGAGGGAGTCAACATAATAAATTGGACCTCTGCTTCCATAGAGTTTGTAACCTATCCCTCTTACTGTCTAACCCCACTAAGTGTTATATGGATCATGGTTTGACCACATTCGTGACTGGCTGTCCATGAGAGAGAGGAACACCTTCCTGATACTGAGTTACGAAGAGCTGAAACAGGTAACCATCATTTTTATGGTCAGTACACACCGTCTCACCAATACCTTCGCTTCCACTAACTTCCCTATATTTTTCTGTGTCTCCATTCCGCCTTCTCAGTCAAGGTCTAGCCTGGAGAAGAGATATTAAGAGTGAGATTAGGCCGGGCACAGTGGCTCAGCCTGTAATCCCAGCATTTTGGGAGGCCAAGGCGAGTGGATTGCTTGAGCCCACGCGTTCAAGACCAGCCTAGGCGAGACTGCATCTCTACAATAAATAAAACTTGGCGAGACTGCATCTCTACAATAAATAAAAAAATTAGCCGGGCATGGTAGTGCGCACCTGTAGTTACGGCTACTTAGAAAGCTGAGGCAGAAGGATTGCTAGAGCCCAGCAGGTTGACACTGGAGTGGCTGTAAGCATGTCACTGCACTCCAGTCGGGGTGATAGAGTGAGACTCCAACCCCCCCCAAAAAAAAAAAAAAGAGTGAGATTAGCTCCCTGGTCTTCATTGCTGTTTCTGATTGACCCTTCTCAAGATTCATGCTCTTTCTTCATACATTGTTCTTTATTTCTTTTTAGATATAAACATCTAAAGAGATTTTTTTGATGCACTGAGGCAGATTACAATGGCTTATGCTAGCACTGGTGCTTATAAAAATTTGCTTGGCAGGACACAGGAGCTCCTGATGACCTAGTGATGAGTGGGAACTGGAGAAGGAGTTGAGACTGGGTAGAAATGTTTTAGTTCCAGAGATGTGTCCAACTGTTTGACACCTCAGCTTGACTGATATGAAGAGACATGAAGGCATGAAATCGATCTGTGTAAATATTCTGAGATGCCAAGTGATCGAGTGACTAGTGATAGATGGAAAATCTGTCAGATGATGCCCAGAACTGGTAAAGGTGGGTAGAATGTTGAAAAAGAAATTTGACTGATCAGTAGCATCTTAGACAAAATTGAAAATGATACAAGTCTGAATTTTGCTTCTTTCTGAGAAACATGACTTCCCATCACCTTCCTTTGATTACACCTGACCAGTCTCAGCATGAATTTCAGTTTTATTAAGAAACTTTCTGTAATGAGTTTAGCTACTTCAGATACATGATTCCATACCTTCCTATAATTTTTCTTCCAAATCACACAATGAACATTTATTTTAGTTATTTCCACAGATGTGTGTCTTCTTAGAAAACAACCACAGCTTATAAAATAAATAATATTTTAAAGTATTATAGTTCTAGGAGGAAGGTCTATGACTCAAATCTGGTTATAAAAAATGTATTTTCTTATCTTAATGTTTTAAGATCATGTACCAAGTACTAATTGTCAATATAATATTTAAGAGATATTATAAAACTTTATGTGTTACTTAAATACTAGTTATGGGAAACAGTATTATTTGATGGCACAGCCAGGATTTGAAATCAACCCCTTAAATCTTTGTCACACTCTTCCTGAAACTCTCCTTGTTAATTCTGATTTTTGTCTAGAAGCCTTTCTACAAGTCTAATTGGAGACCCTAGTGGCCACATGTGGTGGCTCATGCCTGATATCCAGACTTTTGGGAGGCTGAGGGGAGAGGATTGCTTGAGGTCAGGATCTTAAGATCAGCCTGGGCCACATAGTGAGATTTTGCCTCTACAAAAATTAGTCAGGTGTGGTAGCTTGTATCTGTGATTTCAGCTCCTCAGGAAGCTGAGGTGAATCACTTGAGCCCAGAAGTTCAAGGTTACAGTGAGCTATGAACCAGATACAATAGAGTTATTGCACTCTATCCTCCTTAAGGGAGGGGGGAAAAGAAGAAGAAATCTTAAGCTCTGTCTTTTACTGTTAAGTTATCCTAACCTAACTTTGCAGCAACTTGGATGGATTTAGAGTCGATCATACTCAGTGGTCTATCACAGAAACAAAGAACAGAATACCATATGTTCTCACTCATAAGTGGACCTTGAACAATTATAATACTATAAGAAAGCAATTGGCAGTAGTGGGAAACTGTCAGGGGAGGGGGGTGGGATTGGCAGTTAAGGGAAACTGCTAGGGGAGGGAGGGGCATACCTCATCAACAAGGATACCTGCATAATCAACATTTGTATACCTAACCCTGAATTGTACACCACATCTTTATAATAAAAAAGTTTGGGGGGCACACCTCATCAACAGGGGTGCCTGCCTAATGAACATTTGTATACCCAGCCCTGAATTGTACCCCACATCTTTAAAATTAAACATTAAAAAAAAGTTATCCTAACTTCAATTTCTCAACTATATTGGGAGACCCACAATGATCCTTGCATCTTTTACATACTTTGTGCTCTCTTCTCTTTATCTTTTTTCTTTTTTTCTCCTCATAGCATTCTTCTCATTTCTGTATGTTGTTCCTGTCTTCCTCTTCCTTCTCATCCTCCTCTTTCTTTTTCTCCTCCTCCTTCTCTCTCCCCTCATTTGGAGTTCTCTCTTTCTCATCTTATTTTCTCCATTGTCTTTCTCTTCCACATCTTCTATTTTGTTTTTTTCTTTTAGGACACCAGAAGAACTGTAGAAAAGATCTGTCGATTTCTGGGTAAGAAATTAGAACCAGAAGAACTGAACTTAGTCCTCAAGAACAGCTCCTTCCAGGCCATGAAAGAAAACAAGATGTCCAATTATTCTCTTCTGGGTGATGATTATTTTTTTCAGAATGTGCTACTTACGAGAAAAGGTAAAAGTAATTGGGGTGTTTCAAAATGTATAAGAATACATGGAGGGCATTCCTGTGCTTACACTAGGGTGCTAACAGTTGAGAGGAAAGGATGTTTGAATTTATCAACTTTTCTTGCTTATCAACCAGAGTACTTCTTAGAACCCCTCATCAGGGCATCTCTTTTCATGGAACTGATGTGGGCGGCCGGCACTGGGAGAAAGTTGACTCAGTCCGGTTTGGTTGCCTAACTTACGTGAGGTCATTCGGATTCTCTCTCCTGAAAATTACAAACAGTGACCAGGTTAATTAGCTAGTCCTTCCAGACTTGTAGGCTGTGATTTACCTGGGAAGGATGAGATTGTGGCAGTTCACGTTGAGGCTACCCCACTGTTGAGTTAGCATAGAAAAGCAAAGAAATGTATGAAAGAGTGGCTCAACTGGGAAAGGAAGAGAGGAGAGACTTTGCTATCAGACATTGTAAAGCCCCTGTGATGAAAGATTAATCATGTCCCTAATCTTGGGCTTAAGATGAATGAAAATGTCTACTGCATGAAGTTAAAGAATCCATTTATCCAAAATTCTACAATTCAAATATATCTGGAATAGAACATTCAGCACCTCAGAATGTAACCATATTTGAACACGAGCTCTTTAAGCCAGCATTAGGTTTGTAGGGTAATCTCCAATCCTATATGACTTTTGTCCTTATAAGAAGAGGAAATCTGGATACAGATATGTGCAAACACGGAGAAAACATGAAAGAACAATGAGTGATTACAGGGAACCAATTCCATATTAGACTCTCTGCTATACTATGTATATTTATATGTTAAGAGCAATGATTTATATTTATATGATGTATTATTAATTTATATATAATTATATTATTCTACATTAATTTAATTTATTGGTATAATATGTAAAAATTAATTTATATGTACAAATTTACTATGTAAATATTAATTTGTAAAAATATAGTAATAGGGTCATATACGGGAGGTTGAGGTGAGAGGATTGCCTGAGTTCACGGGTTTGAGACCAGCCCAGGCAACTTGGCGAGATCTCTTCTCTACAATAAATCAAAAAATTAGACAGGTGGTGCATGCCTGTAGTTCCAGCTACTTGGAAAGGTGAAAGGATCATTTTTTTGTGGCTACTGTGAATGGGAGGTTGAGGTGAGAGGATTGTCTGAGTTCACGGGTTTGAGATCAACCTGGGCAACTTGGTGAGAACTCATCTCTACAATACTTTAAAAAATTAGGCAGGCGTGGTGGTGCATGCCTGTAGTTCCAGCCACTTGGAAGCTACTTGGAAAAGTGGAAGGATCCCCTGAGCCCAGCATGTTGAGGTTGCGGTGGCCATGAGCATGCCACTACTCTCCAGCCTGGGTGACAGAGTGAGTCTCCGACTCAAAACAACAACAACAGTTAATAATATAGAATGAAGAGGGGCTGGGCATGGTGCTGTCATTCCAGCACTTTGGGAGGCCGAGGTGGGACGATCACTTGAGCTCAGGAGTTTGAGACCAGTCTGGGCAACATAGTGAGACCTCACCTTAAAAAAATGTATATATACATATATATTTATATATCTATATAAAATTACTGGTATCTAAATCTTTGGCTTCCATGTCCATCACTTTAACTATGTGACATTTTCAGGTTTTTCCTCCTTATCTATAAAATAGAGATCATATTAGTACATTTCTCATTCTTTTGTTCACACTTTCAACAAGTATTTTATTGAGTATGTCCTATATGTCTGTTGCTCTTTGAAACTCTAAGTCTTTGGCAATATGAAAAGTAAATGATGTGACTTTCTAAAACTTACATACATGGGGAAGCATGTCGTGCACATAAACCACACAAAAGGAAATACTTAGAACCTTCCTGCACAATGAGTGTTAGGAAGTAAAATATAGCAAATGTGGAGATGGACAGCTCTATTCTGGGAGGTGAGAGAGAAGATTGATCAGAGCAAAGACTTTAAGAGGCAAGCGGGCAAGACAGGAGGGATCTGAGAGAACAGCATTCCAGGGAGGAGGAACAGGAAATGCAAACAGTCTGAGGAGGGGGGTGCTGCTGCATTTGAGGCAGAGTCAGGAGTTCCCATGTAAAGGAGTAGAGTGAAGGAATGATAGTTACAGGGGATGGAGTCCCAGACAGCAGCCACAGTCACCTGGAGCCATGTAAGCGCCTTAAGTACTTGCACTGGGTGAAGCTGCGAGTCCTTGGAGAATCTGAGCTGAGAAATGGCGCAGTCTGGCTGAGTTTCTCAGGGGACCACAGAGGCTGCCACGATGAGAGCAACTTATAAAGGAGAATGATCAAAAACAGAGAGACCAGTTGCAAATCTATGACAATAATCCAGGTGACAGATGATGCTGACTTGGACCAAGATGGAAGAAATGGAGGTGGTGAAAAGTGGCTAGACTCTGAATGTATCTGAAGTTATACTGGCATTATTGCTGATGAACTGCAGACAAGAAGGCTGGGAAAGAAGAGACGACAGGAAATTATTTCCAGGCAGGTAGAAATGTGAATGGGTATGTTGCCAGGCAGTATAAGGGCCCATCCATGGACCATTGTTCCTTCTGCTATATTCAGTCTCTGTTTCATGTCTTCCAGGCATATCTGGTGACTGGAAAAATCACTTCACAGTGGCTCAAGCTGAAGTCTTTGACAAAGTATTCCAGGAGAAGATGGCAGATCTTCCTCGAGAGCTGTTCCCATGGGAATAATATCCAAAACATTCTGGATCTTATATAGATACTGATATTTGTTCTGCTGTTCTTGTATATGTGCCTGATTAGTGGCCGTGGCATAAATCCTTCAACCTGAAGCCTTATATTACCAAATTGTTGCATCTTTGACTACTTTCTTGTTCAAGATTACCAGGGTTCCCCTAAACATGTCATGGTTTCCCAGACCTTTATAAATGTTTGCAATGTTTCGAACATATGGAATGCTACAGAAATAATAGTTGCATTACCCAAAAATGTGCCCTCATTTTTAAAATAAAAATGAGAAATAGCTAAAGTGATGAATTTTATGGCAAATAACAAGAATAAAAGGAAGAAATTAAATTTCAGAAGCAATTCAGTTTCCTTTTTTTCCATCACATTTATAATTGTTCAGACCTTCAGGAATGTGATTCCCAATCCCATTTTATTTTCATTCTCTGTAGTATTTGACCATAGACCACAAATGGTCTTTATAGATGCTTTTAAAAACATATAAATGGCATAAAGTATAAATGGCAATGTATTCATTGACTTACACGTCTAATTAGCATTTGATATTTGGGTTTCATCAGTGTTGTTGTGTGTAGAGTAGTTTATTATTGACTATTAAGACTTTTGACATTATTTAGTTACCCATTTGTTCATGAATGACTTTCTTCTTGCCAATTTTTCCATATTTAAAGCACTGCTTTGGTGGACTTGATGTAATCAAAAATAGTTTTTCCAGGATGGACATGCAGACATGATCTTGCTGTTTCACTCATTTTCATCTTGATTAGATGTTGACAAATTTTTCTCCGATAGTTTCCTACCAACTTTTGGTCCCATCAACAAGGCATACTAATTCCAATCGCTCTAGCTCCTTCCAAATATTAGTATTTTCCAGACAATTATGTTTTGCAAATTTCTGATCATAGAATATCTCATTGTTGTTGGATTTTGCATTTCTTAGTTGACTAGTGGCTTTAACAACTTGTAAGATGTTGGTGGAACATTGGTCCTTCTCTTCTATTAACTGTGTATTTATGTGTTTTGCCAATTTTCATGCTGTACTGTTGATTTTTGGTGCATTCTTCATAGTTTCTTGTTACTCATCCTTAGTCAATCTTAGAAATTACCTTTTCCTTGTTCTCTTTTCATTCATTTATATTTTCTGTTAGAAGTAGAAATGTTTATGTCACTTGTATCCAAATTTTTCATCATTTTTCTCCTCTTAAGTTCTTCAAAATATGTGTGATGTTTGCACACAAAAATATGACATTTTCTGAAATAGTTTTCAATATATATGAATGGGTTATATGTGACAGCTACAACATAAAGAAAGGAGGATAAAGGAACATGCATGGTGGCAAAGTCTCTAAATTCTTTTTTTTTTAAATTTATTTTTTATTATGATGTTGTGGGGTACAGTTAAGGGTTAGGTATACAATTACGTTTCATTCAGGCACCCTGTTGATATGAGGTGTTTCCCTGTTCCCAGACAGATATTTGCTACTGTTAATCCCATCTCCCTCCCCCCCCCATAGTTTCCCAGTACTGGCAGTCATTTTCTTATAGTATTGCATTGGATGTTTAAGGTTCATTATATGAGTGAGAACATGTGACACTCGGATCTTTGTTTCTGTGAGAGGTCACTCAGTATAGTCTCTAAATTCTAAGTGATACAATACTAATTCCAACTAGACTGTGAAAAGCTTAGTATATCAATTGTAATTCCTAGAGCAACCACTTTATAAAAGACTCTACAAAGATAGGTAGCCAGAATCGTAAGCAATAAATTAAAATATAATACTGAAAAATATTAAAATATTTCAAAATATGGTAGTAAAGGTGGAATATAGGAGAAAAAACCCAGAGAACAAATGATAAAATGTCAATAATTGCATTAAATGTAAATGGTCTAAACTCGCCAACTGAAACACAAAAATACAGCAGAATTATTTAAAAACAAAACTACATACTATCTATGAAAATTAATCTTAATGTAATTATATAAGCAGGTTAAAAATTAAAAGATAAACAATGCAAAAACTGAAAAGAAAACTAAAATGGCTTCATTAATATAAGACTAAGTAGACTTAAGGGCAAGGAGAATTATCAGAAAGAGACTAACATCACAATAAAAGGGTCAACTCACAAAGGGAAAAGACATTTTAAGTGTATATGCATGTAAAAATAGGACTTCAAAATGTATGAAGCAAAAACTGACAGCATGAAAGAGAAATGACAAGTTCATAATTATAATTGGGGAAGCCAATACTCCTTTCTCAGTAACCAACAGAACAAGTAGACAAAATATCTGTAAGAATACCAACCAACCATATTCAATGAACATTTATATAAAATCTCACCTAAAAATAGTAGAATAAATGTTGTTTCTGTGTATATAAGGAATATTCTCCAAGATACACTATATGTTTTAACAATAAAGAGAGAGGGCCATGCAGCTGATGAGCACCTTTCTCTTGGAGAGGAACTAAAGATAGAGGGTGAACCTCTACACTTAAGACAGGACAAGGAGGAACACATTATCAAGATACAACAGAGATATGAAGGGTCCTACAAGAGGAAGAGGGGAAGAAATCAGCTCAAGAACTCTCCAACACAAAAAAGTCCAGAGTCTTTCATTACCCCCACACAATCGCACCAGTTTTCAAATAATGAGTCATATACAGAATGAATTATCCATAATGACATAGAATTCAGCTATGGATGACATTTAAACTCATATAGATCCAAGAGTAAGTGAACTCCTAAACTAGAGAGGCCATGAAACAGTTCAACAATTGAAAGCTGACATGGTCCTTCTAAGAAAGAACCAACTGAATTCCTGTAAATGAAGAGCTTGCCACATATTTTCAAAACACAGACTTAAGATTTAGTAACAGACTTGACCAAGTAGAGGAAAGAATGTCAGAGCTTGAAGATCAATCCTTAGAAGCAACCCAATCAGATAAAAAGAAAGAAGAAAGACTCTCAAAGAATAAACAGTCTTTGAGATATATGGGATTATATAAAGAGACCAAATCTATGTCTCATCAGCATTCCTGAGAGAAAAGGAGAAAACAGAAGCACCCTGGAGAAAACAGATGCAGACATAATCTATGAAATACTCATATCTTGCCAGAGAGGTCAACACACAAATATAAGAAATTGAGAGAACTCCTGCTAAATACTCTATGAAATGCCCATCCCAAAGACACATAGTCATCAGACTACCCAAGATCAACATGAAAAAAAAAAATCTTAAAGGCAGTTATAGAGGAAGGACAGACAACCTACCAAAAAAGACCCATGAGAATAACAGCTGACCTTTGAGCAAAAACCAACCAGAAGTGATTGGGAATCCATTTATAATATTCTTAAAGAAAAGAAATGCCAGCCAAGAATTTTCTACCCTGCCAAACTACGCTTCACAAATGAAGACAAAATAAAGTTCTTCCCAGAGAAACAAGTGCTAAAGGAATTTTTCACTTTTACGTTAGCTTTACAAGAATGTTTAAGGGAGTTCTAAACATGGAAATGAAAGACACTACTTGCCACAAAGCACAAGTAAGCACACAGCTTACAGACCATATGAATTAGCCACAAAAACAGATCACTAAGCAACTCCTTAACAAGATTATGATAGGAACAAACCCTCACATATTTACAGTAACCTTAAATGTTAATGCTGTTAATGCCCCGTTTGAAAGGCACAGAGTGGAAAACTGGATTAAAAAACAAGACTCATTCTTTTGCTGCCTTCAGGAGTCCCACCTCACCTCTAATGACACCCAGAGGCTCGAAGCAAAGAGATGGAAAAAGATCTACCACCCAAGTGGAAAACACAAAAAAAGCAGGGGTTGCTGTTCCTACATCAGATAAAACAAAATTTAAGCCAATAAAAGCAAAAAAAAAAAAAAAAAAAAAAAAAAGACAGTGAAGGGCACCCCATAATGATTGAAGTGTTCAATTCAACAACAATAATGATCTATTTTAAATATATACACACCCAACATAGAAGCACCATTTATAAGCTATTGCTACTTAACATAAGAGAGGACATAGTCACACAATAATAGTCGGGAATTTCAATACCTCACTGATAGCTTTAGATGGATCATCAAGTTGGAAAAGTAACAAATAAATCTTGGACTTAAATTGGACATTCAATCAATTAGTTCTAACAGACATATACACAACTACAAAATATACATCCTTCTCATCTGCACATGGGTCATACTCCAAAAATGACCTCATAAATTAACCTTGAACAAATTCTAAAACACTGAAATCAGGGCAACCCCTTCAGGTCCCCTCCCACTGTGGGAGCTTTTCTATCTTCTCAATAAATTCTGCTTTTTTTTTAAAAAAAAAGAACAAAAAAACAAAAACCCCAAAACAAAACAACAGCAACAACAAAAACCTGAAATCATACCAAGCATCTGCTCTAACCACAGTGAAATCAGCATCAAGAGGAATCCTAAAAAACACACACATGCATGGAAATTAAATAACTTGCTGCTGAAAAATTTCTAGGGTAGACAACAAATTTAAGACAGAAATTAAAAAACAATTATTTGAAACAAAGGAAAGTGAACACACAACATGCCAAAACCTCTGGGATGCTGCCAGATCAACAAGTTGGAAAGTTGATTCTTTGAAAGAATAAGCAAAATCAACTGATCCTTTGCCCAACTAGGGGTTGGGAGAGAGAGAGAGTGAGTGAGAGAGAGAGAGAGAGAGAGAGAGAGAGAGAGAGAGAGAGAGAGAAATACACTCACAAACAAAAATGGTGATATTATAACAGATCCAGAAGAAATACAAAAGATTATACACATAAACTAGAAAATCTAGAGAAAATGAATAAATTCCTGGAGATGCAACCTCTCAAGATCAAAACAGGAATAATTTGAAACCCTGAATAGACTAATAAGGAGCCATAAAATTAAGTCAGTAAGAAGAAAAAGAAAAAAAAAATCTTACCTACCAAAAATGTCCAGGACTTGACAGCTTCACAGCTGAATCCTACCAGTCATACAAGGAAGAACTGGTATCTAAATTACAGGTATTATTTCAAACAAT